AAAAAAAAAATCACAAGCTTTTTAGCCCATTAGTAAGATGAGGTCAAAAGGCAACCAATAATCTAAATTTCAGAGTGACAAGCCCATCTAAGGGAATGGCACACATAAATTGCTTTAATTTTGACAGACCACAGGAAAAAAGAGAAGTCATTACAAAAACAACTGAAACAAGGGTTCAGTACATACTAGTGCCACTTTAGAAGTCTGGAAACCTCCAGAACAAGAGGATTCCTTAGCCATTCACCACCTGATGGATTGTTTCCTGTCTTTTTTCCATAGTCTCTACCTCATGAGATATTTGTGAGAAAGCAGGGAAGAGCTGAAAAAGACCCATTGGTGGTACAAGTATGTAGTAGCTGCTCCAAGACTTGCAAGCAGAGCAGGGTACCAAGGAAATCTATCTACACTTATGGTCTTCATACAGCACGGTCATCCACCTCTAGTAAGGTTGAAGGGAGATATTCACCTATTACAGGTTGAACCCTGACATGAAGCAATCATTAATTATGCTGGAAAGTAAAGCCTTCTACCTTTCAGTCCTGCACTGACATCAGGCAGAAGTTAACTGCTACCAGAAAGGGTGGGAAAAACACATCCTCCTTTACCCTGCACTGATATTCAGGCAAAAACACTGGAGGAAGGACTCGTGCCCAGATTCTGCATTGATACAAATAGAAGATTTTCTAGAACTGGAAGAGAGTCAGGGAACTGCTCATACCCTGCATACTACTCAGCCTGTCTTCCTCCTCTTCTCCTGCTGGTATGAACCAATTCTGTGCTGAGAGACAGGACAAGGCAAAACATCTGCCTCCAATCTAGATTCTGCCCTGAGTAGGAGTCAGAGGAGATTTCCATCGTGAAAGGGACAGAGCACTGAGAAAGATCATTCCCTGGAGCTCAGGGGTTATATAGTAGGACAGAGGCTGAAAAAAGAAACTACAAAAACTCATGCTCTCCCTACAAGTCTAGCATCAAGTACAAGAGCAGTCTACCACTGGGAGAGAGACAAAAGCATAGAGACACTACTCAGGTATACAGGGTAGACATTCAGCTAAGAGTAGAGCAAGAACAATGAGACAATCCTCCTGAACTGCAGCTCTCATTTTAAAAACACAGTGGTAATGACCCACTTGTGGAAGAATTTAAAGCCTGTGGTACTTTGATAGTAACAATAGCAAACTTAAACCCCAAACCCGGCTCAAGAATTAACTAGAATGACTCAACTTAGTTGTCTGCCAGAAAAAGTACACCCATTTATGAATATAAATACCTCAGGTTCTACCATTCATGTATATATAAGGCATGGCAGTCAATAAAAATTCTTATGCTGCAGTGGCTGGTGATAACTTGATAGTGCTGTGATTTTAAACCCTGTACTCCAGGGATGCCCGACATCTGCTTTCTTTCAAAAGGACTATAGTACAGGGATGTTAAGTAAACAATTATCTAAAGAAGATATATAGTCCACATTCAGAATTATATGATATTGTCTATATTATTGTCTAATTATGAGTCATATCACAAAAAAACAGTATCATTGGGTTATATAGAATTGTAACTGGAAAGCCCAACCAACATGTCATATTATACATAAAAAATACCACCTACCTCTTATGCATATCCAACAATCATCTTTTTTGTTGTGTTTTTTCAGTTCTTCTTCAGTTACTTCAATTAACCTGCCTTGTAATCCTGTAAGGTCCTTTCCACTTTTGGTCAATCGAATCCAATCCATCAGACTTCTGCCCTGTTTTAGAGGAACCTACACAGAAAAAGGAAAGAATTCAGTGTGGATTCTTCAGGTTCTTTGCTTTCCTGTCTCCTTGCTACTTGTGTTCAGGCTGTTCATTATTCTTATTCCCATTTTAAAAGATAAGAAAACGCAAATCTAACAATTTAACAAATCTCTTTATAGCATTTGAAAGTTGTCAAAATCATTTTGCTGCAATTTATAATTCTATAATTTAAAGTTATAAGTAAATTAAACATTATACTAGATATCTGGGCATGAAGCAGAGCTTAGAATTGTCACATCAATGTTCATCATAGTGTCCTGTATGTCACAGTATAACAAGATTAACCTTAAGCCTAGGATCAGGAAACATGTTCTGGTACTGGTTCTACCAAGTGTGAACCGAATATTCTGGGGAAACAATTGGGAAGCTGATGTTCCTGTTATTATACAGCCACTGAGCTATCTGTGGCAGTAGTGGTGGTGAAGACTTCATCCCTTATAGGGACCTTAAAGCCTAAAATATTGTGTGGCCTTTTGCAGAAAAATGTGCTTATACCTGCCTAGAAGATTTAATAACAGGGTATTTGGGATTTGGTGCTTTGTTCTACTTTTGTAAAATAAACTGTTAGGTAAGAGCATTAGTATTCTAACCAGTTAAGATAACCTAATGGAAATTCTGCAAGAGATCTCTCTATATAGGATAAGGTTACTGTCTAACTTGTATAACTAGTTAACAACATACTATGGAAATGTTTAATGTAAAAGTAGACATATTCAAGGAAGCTTATCATTCACTAAATATTTGTGTGTCCTCCCACTCCAACTCATGTGCTGAAATCCTAAAGTCCAATGTCCCAATGTCCATTAGCAAATAGGGTCTCTGGCAGATGACTAGGTCCTATAAATTAGTGTCCTTATAAAATAAGCCTTGGAGAGTTCCTTCACTAGTTCTACCAAGTAAGGACATGGAAACGATAGCTCTGAATAGGCAATCAGGCCCACAACAGATATAAAACTGAGCTTCAACTTCCCAGCCTCCAAAACAGAAGAAATAAATTTGTTGTTTATGAGCCACTTAATCTATGGAATTTTGTTATAAGAGTCTGAAAGACAAAGGCATTTACACACTTCACTTTTATGAGTCAAACCTGTTTTAGGCATTCATTTATCCCCCAAATAACTAAGTGTGTAGGCCTGTGGTGTCTTTCCAATTTCACATTCTCTCTTACTAACCCACAATGTCCCACTTTTACATCACTGGAACTCTCTGGACCTTAAGTGCAAGAAAATGAATTTTCCTACCCCAAACCAAAAACATTTGACTCTCTTCATAATCTGCATAATAGTTAAAGTAATTGAAAATGAAAATTTAATCATGGACCATCCCTACTTCAGCAGCTCTGCATATTATAAGTCTACAAATTCCCTACAATGGGCTGCCAGGCATTTCATAATTTGGGCTTTTTTCTTTTGAAATGTACAATAATCTTTTTTTGTCCTCTTTTTGGACCTAAAGAGTCACTTTTGCTGTAACTCCTTATGGACTTTTGTCTTTAAATGGAACCTGAGAAATGTTTGGCAGTTTTAGTGGAGAAGAGTAGCAATTCTAACTCCTCTCTCTGGATAAAAATACCATTCAGCCAAGCATTTAGCTTATAGAAAGAAACAGGTCAAATAAGAGGATGGCTGAGTGAAAAGTCACAGTCAGTCATAGCCGATCAATCCTCTAAATCTAAAGGAACATTTCTTTTATATATGTGTGTGTGTGTGTATTACACACACACATATGTTAGATAAGTTTATTTTTACATATTTTTGTGTATTTTTCCACCTCAGTTGCAATCCCCTTGGGTTTCCCATCACCAAATCACCCATGTGCCATCACCACAGTCCAGTGTAAACATTTCTTTTTTTTTTTTTTTAAGATTTATTTATTTGTGCATACAGAACAGGCCAGAAGCTCAGGGGCGGTGAGAGGCTTCACCAGAGACAGAGCAGGGAACAGAACAGGCAGATGGAGGAAGTACACTGTAGAGGGGAGCAGCGGGCGGTCAGGAGAGGTCTGCCACACCATGTGGTCACCTCCCGGGGCAGGCAGGAATTGAACTCATGTGGAAGCGGCTTTAGATTCTCAGTGCTGTGCTTTAACCCGCTGCGCCACCAGGGAAGGCCCAGTGTAAACATTTCTTAACCAATTTTCTCTTCTGTGAAATGGAGATAACAAAAGCACCCACATACAGAATCACTGCAAAGATTAAATAAGTAACCAGATATATGACACCCAAAATACTTAGAACATACAGTATGGCCACCAGTAAACACTGAATAAACCCCAGCTATGTTATTATTACAGTCAGGTTTACTTACTTCTGAAAAGCTAATAAAAATTATTGATCCCTGAACTTATAACCGTGATCTAAACTTCAGGTCTAAGTAGAGAAAATAAGAAAACTGGTGAAGGTCCCGAATAAAGTTAAGACCTACCAGCTCATAAATGAAAAGGCGCAGCCTAAGTAGGTAGAAAGTTCAAAAACAAAAACATGTAGATGTGGTTACAGAATGAGGAACAAATAACAGGAGGGGCAACATTCATATAACAATGAACACTGGGGACAATGTTACTCAATTTTGCAAATTTGAAATACATTTGTAGTTCACCTGTTGCTAACAGGAACTTTGATTAAGCAAAACTTAAACAGTACAATTATTAACTTCAAAGCCAGCACGGATTTCAGTAGAAAAGCAGTGATAAAACAAGCGTCAGGTACCAGAGGAAGAAAGGCAGGGTGTGTCTATAGCAATCTAACCAGGGCTTGGCTTCTTCAAAACCTGAGCTCCTGGAGTCCCCTGGGATGGTGACAATCTGATCTCTGTGGCCACCGGCCATTCTTTACCTTCTGCGAGGAAATCTCTATCATTCACAACGTTCGGAACGGGAACAAGACTGGAGAGGAGGACGATTACTAAAGAAGGCAAGAGAGTTCTAAGTTCCCACATTAAGGCAAGCACAGTACCTATTTCTGTATTGTATACTTAAATTAGCGGGGGTGGGGGGGGGGGTTGGGGGAGTGGAGGGAGTTCAAGAAAAGGAATAACAGAATGGGATAAAAAGATGGTAAAGAAAAGAGATTACTAGGTAAGGGGGGAGATTAGGAGAATTCGAGGACTGGAGGCGACGTGGGTGCCAGCAAGGGCAGGAAGGAATGAGGCTGGAGGGAGGACAGGAGGCTGAAGACCTGTCAGGAGAGAAAGGACCGCGCGAGAAGTAGAAAGGCTGGTGCGGAGAGACCCGGGAGTCACCTGCTTACCTTGCTACGCCCCCCGGAGGCGACGCGCTGCTGTGAGCTGGGGGCCGGAAAGGACTGAGAAGGGACGTTCAACATCTTGGATCCCTGGCCCGGGCCCCCCGGGATCGCTGGCAGTCGGGATAGCAGAGTTACGGTAACACCTCCTGCTCCGGCTCCAGGGCCGGGCAGAGGCCAGGCCCCTGACCCACTTCCGGGGTCGCCGGGGTGAGGCGCGCCGTGACGCAACACGTAGAGGCCATAAAGGGTGGAGCCAATGGGAAGGAAGGAGAGCTAGAAGAGGTGGAACCAGCAGGAAGTACGCATGCTCCGTTATTCCTGCTCCCTGAACTTCAGCACCCACAGGCGGTGACAGCTTTTGCTGAAAAGTATTAGCTTGAAGCTGTTCCTTTGCCTTGGTGCTGACCGAATCTGAGAATTAATTCTGTAAAGTCCTGTTAACACAGAACACAAGTATCTGTCCATTAAAGACTATCAACACATTACTTGGAATACTAATATTAAAGCATGTTGACATCTCTGAAACTCTTCTGAGGCAGCAGGCTGTACCTCAAACAGAACCTTTAAATGCTAAAGTGTCAGATATAAACATGTTATTCCTATGGGGTGAAGAGAAAAGTAAGCTTTTAAGAACCCACGCTAATGACTAATGAATGAGTCAAAGACGTTCTAAGTCTTTTTTTTTTCTACTTATCTACTCACACATTTCTCTTCATCTAATTTTCTATCTTCCCTGATACCAGGAACTGTGTGTTGGCATAGCTCACTCCCAAATGAAGTGCTAAACAGTTAGCTTTATGATTCAATATTTCTGAACTTAAAGGCTAACTCCTATACAAGTTGCTTTAATATTGTAAAGCTTCACTTTTTCCATATGCATAATTTCAGATTTTATTTAGTAAGGATGAAGTGAGATGTCATGTGAAAACTATGCACTACGATGCCTGATTAATAGTAAACACCCAATAAAAGCCAGCGACCTTTCATAGTATTCCATCATAATAATGAAAGTATCAGCACAGTGCAGACAAGTACTAGTATCTAAGGCTTGAATTCTTTGCAAGTCCTTTTAGGAACATACACATCCAAGAGCAGAATCCAGTCAAGCAAGGATGGTTTTCAGAAGAGGAAGTTAACTCTCTACTCTTCTTTCCATTATTAACTTGCCCCAACTCTGAAACATGGTTTGACCTTGCTTTATTCCAATTACCATCTCTATAAAATGCCTGTAATCAATTTTTATAGAATTTTTTCCAAGCAGAAGGAAAAGTATGTGAATGTACATAGCCATTCAATCTCTGTCCATTAGCATCCTGGAGTAATATAGAAACATTTTCATTGGCAATCAAAATGTTTATCATGAAAAGGTTGTATTTGAACTAAAAGAACTTCATGATCATAGTTTTATTTGTCACATTTACTTTGCAAAATACCCCTATTTCAAATTTACTAGATGATGATGCATTCTTTTGTAAGTCTATATAAGAAAGACAAATCAATGAAAATGTCTTATTTCATTTCCCATAAGAAATTTTTTACATGGGAACATCAGAAGCAGAGAAGTAGAGCAAAAGAAGACAACATACAAGAAAATGTTTCCTATCTGTTAATTGTCTTAGCTGCACCTTAGAGAGAAGTGAGAAAATACTATCAAATTCTCATCTTCTGACTCCACTTTTTGGAACTCTAAGTAAGTGATAGTTATTTAAACATTTGTTCATAAAGTCTCATTGTAGTACCACGCATATTAAAAACACATATCTACCCCCCCCCCAGATTTAGGGACATTACAGGAGTGTTTAAGAGAAATTATAAAACATCACTCATTAAAGATACCTAAAATTTAGTACTCCTGATCCCATTCTCAATTAGAAAATTATTTAGGGCCCTCTCTTAGTGCAAGGGATTAAAATGAAGCACTCTTGAGCTATCTGCAGCCACTGAAGCATGTGCTCCAACCCTGCCAGGGAGGTGAACCACATGGCATGTCAGACCTCTTCTTTCCTACCTGCTGCTCCCTTTAACAGTGTAGGTAGATCCACCTGTTCTGTTCCCCACTTTTCTCTGGTGAATCCTCTCACACTCCTGCACCTCTGGCCTGTACCCTGGATCTTGTATACATAAATAAATAAATCTTTTTTTAAAAAAAAGAAAAATTTTAAAGTGTTTTTCACCATCTGCTGGCAAATACATAATAATAATGTGTGAACAATTCTCTTCATTATCTAATATTCTTCTGTAATTACAACATTCAGTGTGCATGTTACAAAACTCAGACTAGAAAACAAAGTGTTGACAGTTCTTGCAAAGCTATAACTAAATATTTGTAAAATCATAATGAAAGATAAATTTTTATTTACTGAAGAGGTCAAAATTATCTTTTGTAAACAGTAATGTATAAATAGAACCTATTTTTAAATTCTAAAAATGAATTATATTGTAGGGATAAAAAAAGGCCAAAATACCATAATAATTACAAAATATTTCATTTTATTAATAATTTATATACAAATAAGTTATTCTGAGAGGATTATGGTACATTTGTACACTAATTTTATGTCCTACAAGGCTTGAATGTCATCAAAAGTAAATCATTAGATTAATTTTCACAGATCAGCTCCTCAATTTCATCTTCACTATCAGAATCTTCATAAAAAGAAATTGTGGCTTGAATTGGAAAATTTTTCAGAAGAGCTTCTGCTTCTTGATATAAGTAATCATAACACTTTGATTTGGGCCAAAACAGTCTGAAAGAAGCAAACAACATAATTTGCTTTATATTTCATACTTGAAATCCTTATACTTAAGTAATGTTCAAATTTCAAGAGCTCTATATATTTAATAATTGATTTATTGTATATTTAAATACAGCCTTATGATAGCTTATAAATATTACTATCACAGCTTTCATTGAATCCACTTACCAAATAGTTGGTGGATCATTTTGAATCTCTACCCAAATTATAAATTGAATCAAACAAATTCACACTAAACCCTGTATGCATAAGACTAATATCTAGCTCACTTCAGGGATAATATATATATTTATTCTTATGAAGTACAAAAGGTTTGTCTTCCAATTTCTAAATTCATTTAGGGAAAAAGTAAATGCTATTACTGAATTAAAATTCTGATGACAGCCAATTTCATAAAGATGATAAAATTTTATGCATTTTATCCAAAGACAGAAATCAAAGATCTTGTTTCAAACTCTATTACATATATGACCAGTGAAAATCTAGAAAAGTACAAAAAGAAGTATTTTTAAAAGTTTGCATATGCACTCCCAGTTTGAGATACCTCTAACTCCAATACTGATCACATATCCTCCCCCTTCACTCCATCCAACTTAATTTGGGTTAACCATTTTAGTATTCTGAGAATGACACCAGTTTTACACAATGATTACTGTGTAAACATGATTACCTCAGAATTTCAAATGTCTGGCAAATAGTAATCTTGACATCAAGTTTTCTATTGTTTGCTTTTGAGGGGAAGAAAAGAGAAGGGATATAACAGAAAAGTCAACTACAGAGCAGTGATCTTAACGTAGAATAAATGGCCCCGATATCTAAACCCCTCTTTAATTCTAATAAAGAGAAGGTTACATTATATCTAATATGCCCCATTTTATAAGACAGAAAAATAGAATATAGTTTATAAGTGTTTCTAGCAAAATGACAGGAAAATTTGTATACATTATGCCTCAGTAAGTACCTATCAACAATTTAATCACTTCATAAGCATTTTAGTGACCTGTATTCCAGACATAATCCATGACTCAAAGATGAATAAGTCATGGTCCCTACTCTCAAGAAGTTAACAGAGACACACAATACTATGACAGATTGAAATGAAAATGAATATATAAATGACCTGGACAATAAGTCATTGTATTTACTTACATACATACATATTTAATGTCAGGGGACAGTTGAAAAAGGGTATAAACTAAGCTCCCACTCCTGACTCAGCAGGCAAGTTTGGGAGGCTAGACTAGGGAATAGATAGGCTTTGTTGGGGACAAGAACATAAAACTGATCGGCATGACCAGAAAAGCCAGCCTAGCTCCAGAAATGCAGAAGCAGAGTCCAGAACATGCTTCTGTGTCAAAGGCCAATGCTGGAGACCAGCTATCCCAGCAGATAACGGGTGCAAAATGACACCTCGAATTAGAAAGCCCTATAACAAGAGTATGAGAGAGAGAGCCTCAAGTCCTCCTTAGGACACAGACTTCTCCCAGCTCACCTGCCACTTCCCTTAGCAGTGTATTTCAATAAATTCACCACTCTGTCTTTGCTGAATTCTTTCATCCCCACAACTCCAGCCTCACTGATATTCCCACAACAGTTCAGAAAAGGAAGGAAAAGCTATATAGGAAATAATGTGTCAGGGCAACTGCATGTGCCAAAGAATACTGTTTAATTGTTTCACATAGTCTCAACAGAATTTCTCACTGACCATTTTTTTCTTCCAAAGGACATGATAATTTCTTGAATTCCCCCTATTCTGAGTGGTTCTTTTCAGTCATCTTCATGGACCTCTATATCTCTCTATATAGGTTAGAAGTTGGCCTTCCTCCAGGGGGTTATCACTAGTAAATATCTTTCTTCTCGTCCCTCCCTGGTGGCGCAGCGGGTTAAAGCACTGCACTAAGAAGCTGAAACCACTTCCCCATGAGTTCGATTCCCACCCGCCCCACCTGCCCCGGAGGTGACCACATGGTGTGGTAGACCTCTCCTGACCCGCTCACTGCTCTCGGCAGTAGTGTACTTCATCGATCTGCCTGTTCTGCTCCCCACTCTGTCTCTGGCGAAGTCTTTCGCCACCCCTGAGTCTCAGGCCTGTACCCCAGTTCTGTATGCACAAATGAATAAATCTTTAAAAAAAAAATCTCTCTTCTCTCACATTAAGATAACATTACTTAGTACCATAATTTCCCCAGCTACTCCTTTTCCAAAGGCTCCCACATCTATATTTCATTTAAGATCTGAATGCTGGCTAGCTGATCAACCTTTCAAAAGGATGTCTCTATCTGGATGGCCCTAAGCAAAGTAAATACCATAAATGGAAAACCACTTATCTTGCTTCCCAAATTTCATTTAAGCCCTAATATCCTTTGTGATAGGATCGTATTTACCTGCTAATCAGTCACAGCTTGGAAGCTAGTCTGTCTTTTTACCTCTTCACCTACCTTATCCAAAGCATTTTTAACCCTAATCTATTTCATTACCAAACTAGTTCCCAAATTCAACCAGTCCCATCCCCACTCTCAATGCCTTAGAAATGGTCTTTATCATTCTAGCCTGAACAAATGCAACAATTTCCAATATTACTTTAGTAATTCTTCTGAAACACAAATATGATCACATACTCATCTCATTAAAATTCTTTGATTTTAAGTAATTTCCTAGTACCACCTGCAGAATAATGCCCTTGAGTTCAGAACAAAACTGAGCCAAAGTGTAAAAATTGGCCTTTGGATTCCCTGCTGGAATAATCACAGCTTCCTGCACCCAAATTTCTGCTTCTCAGTGCTTTCAAATTGAACTGTGATATCGCCCTTTATGTCTTTCCTTGAACTATTTCATCTGTCCCTACCTTCCTTACTTGCAAACTTCAAGATGTCCTAGGCAACCACAGCCTATAATATATACACTCCTGAGCCCTACTCCTTCTTGGCAGTTAGGTACTTGACCACCTCTGCCTACTTGTAAAACTGACCAACCTGAACTCTACTGCAACTTGCCACTGGACCATTATTATTGTTTCCTGGGTCCTTCACTATTGCTAGCACACGATAAAAAATTAATCAACGTGCACTAATAGAAATATTAGAAACTATTTATAAACCTATACATGTTTTACAAACATCATATGGGGTTTCATTTAACAGCTCCCTGAAGCAAAGGGCAGAATTAAACTTTCATCTGAATAAAAGCTACAGATTCTAACAGGAAGGATGTCGTTGTTTACGCTAGCTTCTCACTATTATATCAATTAATTTTTGATCACTTTTATGATCCTAAGTAATATTTAGGGCTTTTAGTACATTTTCATTTTCTCTTACAATCTTAGCTTGATTTGCTGTACAACTGCAAGAGAACAATATTACAAGAGATTATTGTACACACACTGCCTAATGTGAAATTAATTTCACTCAGCCCCTTTAATAGTCAGAAGAAAATACTTTGCATGCACAACATGTCTACACCACTCACTTTTCCTTTTTATAAATGCATTCTTTAAGCGTTTAGTGAGTGTGCGCAGATTTACAATTCTTCTAGGTGACAGTATGAGCACCTGTATTTTTCAACTTGATAAGAGAAGGAACTGCAGGGCTAGAAAGGGAAAATAAAACCTTGAAGGTTGATTTTTCAATAGAAAAACTGCAGCACTAGGTGCTGAGCTGAGCTCTGTGATGCCCGGACCCTCCCTTGAGGATGGAAGCTCAGGAGATCTTGGGTGAGGCCTGCCACTCACCTAACCGGGTGTCTGTAATTGGAAAGCTTTCCTAAAGCTGCAGTCATTCCGGAGCCATCAGATACCTAGGAATGAAAGGAGATCAACCGCAGTTATAACTCACCTTCTTCCAGAAACCGGAAACGCGCGCAATCAAACGTTCCTCGTGCCCACTGGGAATGTGACCCCGAGGTTCCTAGCAACCTGGCTCTCTGACCCAATCGTGTGTGCCAGTTGCTCTGAAGGACACCGCCACCGCATCAGCGCCAGAAGGGCCACCGACAGGGGCGCCGGCAGGCGCGATCTTCAGCGAGCCAGCCGTGTGGCTCTCGCACCATACCTAACGGACAGTCTACGTCCCTCGGAGGCGCGGCTAGGCGTGCGCTGCTCACTTACCGCCTCCGCAACGAGGTGCGGCTCCTCCTCTTCCTTGCCTGGGGCGTGAACCCAAGGTCTCCAGAAGCCGGCGGATCTGTGGGGTGGGGGACACAAGGTGCGCGGAGGAGACGTGCGCCCAAAGACTGGAGACCTTATCGCAGCCAAGCTCGGGCCAGGCGGTTGCGAAGGGCCCAGGGCGCAGGGGAGAAGCGGGGGAGTGAGTGATGGGGAGGCGTCGGGGGCTGCCCGCGAGCTATACCCGGAGTCTGCGCCCCTACGCGGCGTCTGGCTGTCTGGGGCAGACGGTTGCTGTTGGCGGCAGCGAGCGCATTCTCCAGCTTCGCTCTCTGCGAGATCCGAGGTCTCCATGGTGCGCCCGGCTCCGCCAAGTCCTGCTGACAGCTCGCGGTCAAGCCTTCCACCCGCCCGGCCTCAGACCCTAGCTTTTATATAACCCCAGCGGCCTGCTGCATATTTAGGGTCCGTTTCCTCTCCGCCTCTCTCTCCCTTGTAGCCGCATAAACAAAAAGGCTGCGCGTGAAGGAGCAACGGGCTGAACCCTGGGTGTGAACGCGTGCAAGCCCCCAAATGGCCTGTGAAGAGGTTTTGTCGAGCAAGTGTTAATCGCTCTTAGACACGTAGCTGCGGGAAGCGTGGGGGGAAGGTGGATGTCCAACTTTCGCCGAGAAGGCAAATTTCCTAGTGAAGTAGCTAGGAGGGGATAAAATTAAGCTACTCGACAGGCTTTGTGTATTTCTTCAAAAAGGCCAAGTGGCTGTCTGATAATTGACCTGAATCTCACGGCTTTTGTGGTCCAGGGCAAATACAACTGCTTATGCATTCTGTATTCTAAAAAAATGAGATGCCAACCAAATTTAAAAGACTGGCCTTAATTCTTTGGTCTGGCAGAATGAAAGACGGATGATGAATAAATGGATGCTTTACAAAAGGAATATTGTCCTTTTTTCTAATGTGTTGTCAGACTAGATTCATACAGCTCTCTATTATTATTTGAGATAATACAAAAATTCACAAGACATAAGCTGTAAAAGACTGAATGTTTCAGCCAAAAGCCAAAGACTGGACTCAAATGATTTGTGCATATAGCTCTACATTCATTTCTCAGATATTTGTCATTCCCCCCAACCCTTATCTGTGTCCTCCAAGACCTTGAGTTCAATCTTTATAATTCTATAATTACTTCGCGCACACAATTCCATCATTACTCAATAATAATTAGAAAATTCTTTTATTGAGAAGGGTATGTGTCAAATAGTAATGAAATCTTGTACAAGTTGGTCAATGTTACTGTTCTTCTGCTTCTCTTAAGTTACCCATCATTTTCTATAGAGGTCTATTAAACTTGTATAATTTGTTATAATGTAAAGGAAAGATATGTAAATGTCATAATTTATTTCAAATACTAAAACTGAACTTCTTCTTAAAAGTTGTAATTAAAAGTTTTAAATGTAAGCTCCAGTGTTTCTGCTGTTCATTCAGTTTCTCTTAGGGAAATCATCTAATGTATACCTAAAGACTTATAATGACCACCTGTCAAGAGGATGAGATAAAGTTGTTTCAGATAATGACATCAGCAAGAATGGGTACATAATGCATATCTCAGTGCCTGAGATTTATTGTTGGTCTAAATAAAATTAAAATTTGGAATTTTTGCTATAGTGCCTGACATGTACTCTCAAGAAATTTTAAGCTATTTTAAACATAAACCCTGAACAGATGTTTAGCTATCTGATAAAACAGCAAGCCATATTGAGTAACAAAACCATATTCTAAACAGAGGAATGAGACAAAGAAGAGAATTGATAGGTTTGTTTGGGCAAATAAGGAAGTCATTTTAAAGTACATGAAAACCAATTTGGATTTCCAGCAGGATCAATCACTGTGTGTTCAGTATGGTAGTGGAAAGAAAAATGACAGTGCTTCTAAAGGCAGGCTATTCCTAGAGCAGAAAGTTGGCAGAGGAAATAGAAAGGACCTAGACACTTAGAAGCCACACATGTCCTGGTAAGACATGTCAGTTTTATTCTGTAATCACTGGTGAAAGATTTTAAGATGCAGAGTGGAGTGGTCAATTATTCCATTTTCTAAAACAGCCATATGGGAGATAGACTTAGGGAATGCTGAGGCTGGAAAGAATGATATAATTTTCAGTCATTGCAATAGTTCAGCAAGTGGTAATGATATGCATTCTAAGGCTAGAAATAAAAGAACATATCTTAGGAGAACTTAGATATGTTCTCTTAAGAAAATTTAGGGAATAGAATCGTAAGAACTATCTGAATCATAAAATGCAGACAGACATGAAAGTGGTATCTATATATGTCCCCAGATGGCTCAAAAAGGACAAAGAAAGCAGAAGATATGGGGGGGGGGTGTGGAGGGGGCTTGGGTAAGATGTTACTGTGTTGTTTTATTTTGTTAATATTGCACATGGAGTGGGCATAGTGAATTAATTTGGTTTTGGATCTTGAATCAGTCAAGTTGAATGAGGTATATAAAAATCACTAATAACTCCAATGTCTCATAGGCTTGAAACAACAAGGTTTACTTCTCATTCAGCTAGTTGCCATTTCTGTTTGATGGGACATCTGCTGCATATTATCTTCACTTACAGATATAAGCTGATGGAACTTCTTTCCTCTGAAGATAGCCACCTTTAATAGAGGGAAAGCAATAAGGCTAATTAATACATTTTAAAAAGTTTAGTAACATATAGGTAAAGAAGCTGTCCAGATGGCTATCAGAAATATGAGATCTGGGTGTCAATAGTTCATGGCTAACGATTTAAATGTGGAATCATAAGAAAAGGGTAAATATACCATCTTCTTGGTTCAATCATGTATTTTTGGGCATTTGGGTTGATTTCACATCTTCCCTATTGTAAATAGAGCAGCAATAAACATAGGGGTGCAGATGTCCTTTGAATTATTGTTCTGTGTCCTTTGGGTAGATACCTAGGAGTGGAATTGTTGGATTGTATGGAAGCTCCATTTAAGAAACCTCCACACAGCTTTCCATAGTGGTTATACCAGTTTGTATTCCCATAGCAGTGTAGAAGAGTTCCTTTTTCTCCATACCCTTGCCATCATTTATTGTTGCTTTTTTTAAATATATATCACTCTCAATGGCATATATATATATATACATATATATATAGTGGAATATTACTCAGCAATCAAAAAGATAAACTCATACGAGTTCATGGATGGAACTGGAAAAGATCATGCTTAATGAAATAATCCAAAAAGAAAAAGTAAAAAATGCTAGATAGTTTCACTTATAGGAGGAGTGTAAGGGACCAGGGGAGAAAATAGTAATTGTAATAAAGTAAAAAAGAACATCAACTAACAACTATAAACCAGAGACATTCTATGGTGGAGGAGAAGGGAACAAGACCAAAACTGGGGTGGGTGGGAAGAGCACATGGGACTATGGTGATGGTACATGGTTGAAGTGGTGGTGGGAAAACCATGAGGATTATAACAGATGAAAAAATGTACAAAATGAAGAATATGTAAAAATATATATGTAAAATTAAAAACTAAAGCAGTAAGGAATGTGAAGCAATTGAGAATGATTATAAATTAAAGCCTAAAAGTGTTAAACTATAGGAATTGATTAATTTTTCCAGAGAAAGTTTGTTGCTTGAAAGCAGGACCAAAGGACCAAGGAAAAAATTTGGAGAGTATTTAGTTGTCAAATGAGTATACAAAAAAAAAAACTCACTGAAAAGGAATAATGAAATTGCAGGAGAGCTGGTACTCAGCAATTGTTTGTAGATCAGGTGTGTTGGAAACATGGAATGAAAGAATTTTAACCAAAGGGTGAAATGAAATAGGAGCATATATTAATTGAATTTGGCAGTTGTGCAGTTAAAGAGATTTTACATCTTCTACATAGGGTGATGAAGACTTTTTCACAATATGTTGAGATATCAACATGAACAAGTAAAAACATTGAGTGTGGCTGTTAATTTGGGGGGCGGGGAAGAAATATGGAGAACGCTGGGTCAGTAGAGAGTTTTTAGAGTGCAAGAGATGGGAGAATGTCTACAAAAGAAGAGGCAGGAGAACAGAGGCATCCAGAGAGAGGGGACTGGGTCATGGCTGGTGGGTTGCCAAGAGGTAGGAGAACTGGGATCCCTGGCTATGGGGAGGATTCTCATGAGGGTGGAGAATATGCATGAGTGATGACAGTAATCCAGGCCTGGGATCACTACAGTGAAAAATATTTAAGCTAGGTCACCAGATCTACTGTGGTAAAGGAGATGCAAATCAATTAAAAAACATTAATTGTCTTAAATATATGAAAAAAGCAATGTGACACTGCAATGAAAAATGGAAAACCAATTAATAAATTACAGCAGATTTACATTCAATCAAATTTAGGTAAAATGGGAAATATAAATATAAATTTATATTTTAGATTTATGTAAATATAAATCTAGAAGATCTAAAACCTTCATTTATTCCATTTATGCCACATATTTGATGTTGAAGCTGACTTCCAATGTGACAAAGGCCAATCTAACTTATTTATGTTACATTTTAAATTTATTTTGGAATTCTCTGTGGGTATCACCATTACACTTAAAACATGTGCTTTTCAAAAATTGATATATTGGCATAAAACATTAGTTTCAGACATATCATGACTCAATATATGTATATACTGCAAAATGATCATAATGATAACTCTAATTGACACATCACAGTTAAAATTTTTTCTTGTGATGAAAACTTTTGAGACCTACTCTCTGTAACCTTTAAATATGAAATATAGTATTATTGACTCTAGTCATCAGGTTATATATAATATCCTCCAGACTTATTATCTTAATTGTATTATTTTTTATTGAGGTCACATGAGACTGCAGTTATATGTTATGACATCACAGCCAATAGCAAGGCACCCATAATCCTGCAAATGTAAAAAATTGATTGGACCCCTCCTGACTCCCTCTGGTAACCTCAATTTTTAGATTTCTAAGGGTGTGTTTTAGTTTGGTTTTGTCTGCTCCTTTGTTCTATTTCTTTTATATTCCACCTGAGTGAAACCATAGTGTTTGCTGTCTCCTGATTCATTTTGCTTAACATAATCTCCAGACCCAGCTATGTTTATGCAAATGTCAAGATTTCATCTATTTTATGGCTAAATAACATTCCATTGTGTATATAAACTACAGTTTCTTAATCCATTCATCTATTACTGGATATTTAGGTTTTTTCCATAAACTGGCTATTGTAAATAGTGTTGCAATGAATTTAGGAGTTCATATGTCCCTCTAAATTACTGTTTTTGCATTCTTTGGATAGGTACTGATGGGTGGAATTGCTGTATCCTCTGATAGATCTATTTCTCATATTCTGAGAAACACCATACTGTTTTCTATAGGAGACAGACAAGTCTGTTTCCACCAGTAGTATACAAGTGTTCCTATTCCACATCCTTGTCATCTATTGTTGTTTCTGATCTTTTTTATATGGGTGCACCTTTCTCATGGGTGTGAGAGGGTATCTCATGTGGTTTTGATTTGCATTTTCCTAATAAGCAATAATGCACAGTTTGATGTGTCTTTCTTTTATGTTATATATAACTTTAAAACTGGTAATTTGTACTTTTTGCCTCTCTTTGTCCATTTCACCACCTATATTCCAGCAACCACCAATCCATTCTCTGTATCTGAAAGTTTGGCTTTTTTTTGTTGTTAGTTTTGTAGATTTGATACATAAGTGAGAGCGTATGTTGCTTGTCTTACTCTGTATAACTTATTTCATTTAGTCTAAATGCCCTCAAAATCCATTGATATTATCACAAATGACAAGATAGACTTTTTTTTCATATTAATACCACCCCATTATGGGTATGTATATCACATTTCTTTATCAATTCATCCATTGAGAGACATTTAGGTTCCTTCCATGTCTTGACTATTGTAAATAATGCTGCAGTGAATACATTGGCGCATTCATCTTTTCAAGTTAATATTTTTATTTCCTTTGGATAAATACCCAAAAGTAAACATGCTTGATCATATGGTAGTTCTAGTCTTAATTGTTTTGAGGAAACTCCATATTATTTTCCATAGTGACCATACCAGTTTACATTCCTACCAATGGTGGAAATGTAAGATGATAAATGTCTCATTTTGGTTTAGGATTGCATTTCACTGATGATCAGTGAAGCTGATCATCCCTTCTTTAACGAAGCATCTATTCAGATTCTCTGCTCATTTTTTAACTGGAGCATTAGTTTTTTGCTACTTAGTTGTTAAATTCTTTATATATTTTAATACTTTATGCATTAATAAATATTTTCTCCCAGTGAATTGGTTGCCTTTCCATGTTATTGATG